TTAAGGGCGGCCCCGGAGGGCAGGATGTGAACGAAAAGTCCAGCCAGTCTGACGGTACAGTCTATTTTCCCGATATGAAACGCATCAGTCCGACCAATGGTAGCAGACCTACCGGTGCTGGAGAGGGGCCGAGACCTCAGGCACCGCCACAGGTCTATAAACCATCGGTGCGCCCATTGATAGCCCTCCAGAAGCCTAATTATAAACATAATAAACAGCACGTGTCGCCCAAACCTGTTGTACCGCAAATACCGCCACCCAACGCGCAGTACGTGCCCCTCAGTTTGCCCCCCATAGCCGGCCAACCATACCACGGACCCCCGCCCTACCTGTTCTCCTACCCGAGCCCTCACCAAGGGTTTGGTAACTTTCCTATAGGTATTGTATTTAATTAATTTATAATTGTTATGTAATGTTCATTTTATATATTATCTAGGTCCAATAAGGCCATTTGATCAGGTTTTTCGACCTCCACCCCCACCGCAATCGCCAGCTAATGTGTCGCCCGTCCAATACATGCCCATCCCGTTGGACAGCGTACAGCAGCCCCAACATCACACGGGCGGAGGGGGCGGTACAGATGCTCAGTCATCGCCCATAGACAATCTGCACGCCGGTTTCGTACCCATGCTCATCAAAACTGCCAACCAGTCCATTGTGAAACACTTTGAGCACAAGTCCCAACACAACACACCGTCCAGACAGGGCGTATTGGCCCCAGGTGCAATTGGCAACACCGGGTCCGACAACTCTGGCACTTCTAACCCGTTTTCAAAAAACAATTCGGTGCCATTCGCGCCCACATTCCGCGCGCCCAGTCCTGACTTCAGCGGGTTTAATATATCTCGGTACGGTGAGTTGGCACCTAGCTCAAAACTGGGCGCCGGTATGCGACCGATACAGCTCACCAAACCCCTGGTGCCAATCAATAAGCACCCGAACACAGTGGCCGCCGATCGTGTAAACATACCGTTGCGGTATAGACTGAAACCCCAGGCACAGGACGCCCCCGTCTATCAACCCGGCGCTGGAAGTGGTGGTGGTAATCGGCTGTCAGGTGCCGGTCATCCTTATGGCCATTATTTGGACGACTCGTACGATCCGAACGAAGAGTATATGATTGCCGTCGAGAGGGGCTCACAATCGGCCGAATCCCAGAGCACTCACACTGTTATGAACGCATCCGTTCAGGACTTCAATCGTCTTAATTATAACGTAACATAATTATTATAACTCTCTCTCTCTCTCTCTCTCTCTCTCTCTCTCT